TTTTAATGCTTTGAAAGGTTCACATCTATGCTAACATTGGATATTCACTATACACCTCTGAGCGTGGCAGGAAAATATTATTAGCCCATAGAACAGATGAGAAAACTGAAGCAGAGCAAGGTCAAGAGATCTTCCCAGCACCTCACAGAACTAGATACCGAGACCTCTGACCTCCTACCTATGGCTCTTCCTGCAGTACTGCCATACCTCCTGTTTCCCAAAGCAAAACTCACTACCCGAGAGAGAAACATCTGATCTCTTGTCGCCTTCATTATTTGTCTTTGGTCTGAAGAAGCCACTGTTAAGGGAAAAGGTGCCATAAAGTGGTCATGAAGACCTTGTCATACAGGGTGATTTGTGACCCCTTGTCCAATCAAAGTTGCTTCCCTGGGAACTCTGGAGCAGAGAGAGTCAGAGAAAGAGACTACGGCTACACAGTAGCAGGTTGTGTGCTGGGGAGGGACCAGCGAGCAGGATGCCATGCTGCAGAGGACCTGTAAAGCTGGCGTTAGAAAGAGGCAGAGAGAGGCACACAGAGAGGGGCAGGCCCAACAGAACCCAGATTGGAGATCCAGCCCTGCCAGAAGCCCACCTACATTCCTGCCCTAGAGTTCCAGAAACATCTCAGTATTTTCATCAAATGACCCTCTCTTTTCGTTTACACTAACCTGGGTATTTTCTAGTATCTGCAGTCAAAGAATGCCAAGTAGCATAGTAGCCATGATTAAGTTACTTACATTCTCTTAGCCTCGGTTTCCTCATCTGAATGGAGATAAAAATACCTCCTTCATAAGTAGTTGTGAAGAATCAATATGAGATTCCTAGCATGATTCACAGTACATAGTAGAGACTCCATAATAATAGCTACTTTTGAATATTGTTGTTTCTTAGTGGCTGCAAGAGAGTGTTAAGAACCCTCAGCACTAGTCTTCTTCAGTCTCACCTAGCGCTGGGGCCTGCTGGGAGACAATACCATGGAGATGTGCTGTCTTTGCTAAGTCAACACTGTGGAGGCTTTTTTTGAGAGGCATGAACCTCCCAAAAGTAGTTGCAATTGGCACCTTCCTGCATATAGCCTACTCCATACTTGGCTGTCATTATATGAGACTAATAACCCATGGCACCAAGACCCAAAATCATCTCATGACAGTTACACTGATTCATGGCTTCTCTGAATCTTCACACACACCTCCCAAGACATTTTCACTACCCTTACCCTATATATGTCATGATTCAGATTTTTTATGCAGAAACACACTTCAAAGACCCTTACTGGCCAACTCAGATAAGGCCCTTGCCCAGATCACATTCCTGCAGCTTGTGACCTGGTTAGCACTATGTTTTATGTGCTCCAACTATTTATCCACAGTCCCCAACAAGCTTCTGGAAATCATAGTACTAACTGACTTACTCCATTATGTTTTACAAAAATAAATTTGAATCTTATAACTATCAGATAGCATCTGACTCCCTATCTCACTGTAAAGGGAGATCTAAGGAACTTCTAGGGTGGCATTTATATTGTGTCAGTCACTTTATACCAAAAAAAAACTAGCCTCTACACAATAAAACCCAGATGTCCTTCCAGAGTCTGATGAACCAATTGCTGGTGTTCTACCCCAGAAGTCTGCTTAAGAATTCATAATCTAAATCTTACTTCCAAAGGAAATTTTAATCTTCAATAGAGCCAACTCAGTCCCACAAAGAAAAGCAGGTTTCTTATGAGTGTGGAAAAGGCTGCTGTTTTGCAAGGATTACCATTAAATTATGCACATGCTGAACTCTGATTAAAGCTTAAAGCTAGAATATATTGTTACCATTGACAGAATTTTAGAGAAGACTCTTTCTTAAAGCCATAAAAGGACTGCTGAGAAGTAAAACTAGAAGAGAATTTCTTAGAACCTCTTTCTTGTAAAAATGAATATAAAGCAACTAAATGCAGTGTTTGGACTTGGCATAAACAGGCCAGTATAACAGAAACAGTTTAAAACAGTACCTTCTCATAGTCCAGCTGTATTCCAAGAGCAATAATAAGGTATTTGTAGGAGATCTGCAAAACAAAAAGATGTTATTGTTATTATAGAGCAGGACCCAAAAGGCAGCAGCCCACGGGCTGACTCAGGCCCCCGATGCCTGTGGTCAGCACTATGTTTCCATTTTGTCATGAGAATGTCTGCAGGGGCCTGGAGGGTGGTTTTGTCACGTGAATGTCCAGGGGCGGAGGGTGGTGGGCAGGCAGCAGGAGGAACACACACTCCATTTCGCCACCATGCCCACTGTTCCCCATTGCCTCACACCTCACTGCCTCATTATTGTGTAACATGCCTGGTCCCTTAAAGCTTGGGACTCCTGTATTTCTACTCAATGGAGAACGATCATAGAGAGGCCACAATTATTTGTGCCATGCTTGTGTTAACACTTTTTCATATTGAGGGGTGGAGCATGTCTTCCTAATCTTATAAGACAATCAAGTTTCTTTAAAATCTATGGGGTAATGTGTGAATCCCAAGCAAACCTGACCTGTCATATGGATTAGATCAATGTCATAATTGGGAAACTGCACTTTGAGGGTCATTGAAAAGGATGTGATACAGTATACTTAATCTTAGTTAATCATCTGTATGGGATGAAAAAGTCCTCTCTTCATATATGGGTATTGTGATTATTCACACTGAACACAAAGTATCCGTACATTTTGTGATGGAAGCGGGGGTTTAGGATCAGGAAGAAGACAAGTCAAGGTTATACAGTATATGCAAGAAGGACGTAGAGCACAAGAACTTGCTAGAAAACTGGAGATGGAGAATGATTGCAATGAGACTCAGGAGCCCAGAGAGGAGAAACAGGTGGTGGTTACCACGATCCCATACTAAATGGAGAAGCAGAGCCAGCAAGCTGAGCAAATCACAGCTGGAGAAAGAAGACTCCAAGACTTCAGAGTGTGTGGCTCCATTGGGGGAGCCAAGGGGAGCAAGTTGATGAAGATGTCCTGCCCTAGAGTCCAGGAGACTCAGCTCCAAAATCATCTCCACAGTAGGGCCTGCCTCTGACTCAGTGACCCTCCATGGGCCCCTCCCAGAACTCCCTCAGCACACTGTGCATGACACTTTATAGCACATGTTATATTGGAGTCATGTCCTCCCCACTACATGGAACACTCCTGGAGGATAAAGGTTATGTCTTATTCTTTATATTCCTGGAATGTAGCACCGTCACTAAAGTGAGGAACTCAGTGTTTGTTGGATGGATAGATGGGTAGATGGATGGATGATTTCAGTTGCTTGTGAAAAATACAATTTATCAATTGGATAGATAATATACGCATCTTCATCTGTATGCTTTGCCTATTCATTGAGAGCTGGTACCTTGAAATTTCTTGTTCTGTAGGAAAGAAGGCCCATTAAATGACTGAGTGAACCATGTTGAGTCATTGGGGTATGTGAGGTAAGACATAGCATGGGGTCTGGAGGTGATGATCTACAGGTGAAACACATGAATACTGTCAACAATAACTTTCAGCTTGTGTATGCCTTGATGGCTTTATTAAAGCATAATATAAATTCTAAAGACTACGAACAGACAACCTTAATATTATGGGGAAAAAAATCATTATGGAAGAATAAACTCCAGACAGCAAGAGAACAAAAAGAAAGCCTCAAGTCTTTTGAATGAGTTCAAGTTTGCAGGCCATATGTTCTAAACCCTAAGAAACTGCAAAAACGTATAGACAAGACTTTTGAGCAATTACAGAGAACAGTGCAGACCTCATCAAAAGGCTGAATATGGGCAAGTATTCTCATTTTATACAGGGGGTAGGGGAGGTGAATTCTAACACTGACAACTTAGTAAATAGGCTAATTCCTTGCAAAATCCCAGGCCCATCTACTACATGGATGTCTCATAGTAATTTAGAAAAAGAAGAGCACCCACATGGGCTCAGATGACAAGCCTGCTTTCAGTCAGCAGTCAAGAACTATGCTGGCACATGGTGGATACTCAATATATTTCTTTTTCCTTTTTTTCGGGTATTCTTTTGAAAAATAATAACAGCAATATTTCTTGAGCATTCACTCTGTGCAACACTGTTCTAAGTACCTTATATGTTTTGATTCATTTACTGCTCACAACAGTCCAGTGAAGTAGAAAGATGTTATTATTTCCATTTTACATATTTAGAAACTGAGACACAATTTGCTCACAAATATTTACAAAGCACCTTGTATGTGCCAGATATTATGCTAGCTCCTGGGCACACAGAGATGAACAAGAAAGACACAGTTCCTGACCTCCAGAAACTCAGGCTAGTGAGTAAGGCAGGCATTACCAGATAATCACACGAGTAATTACAAATCACAGATTGCTGTGATAGCATACCAAGGGGGAACTAACCTAGCCTGGTAGGTCAAGGAAGTCTTGCCCATAAAGATCATCTCTAAGCTAAAGGTGAGTAGGAGTTAGCTAGGTGTAAGGTGTGAGCAGTACGTACAAATGTCCTGGGGTAAGAAAGAAGCTGAGGCATTTGAGGGAATGAGAGGCCAGAGCAGGAACAAGAGAGAGAATAGAACCAGGTTAAGTCTGGACAAGTAGCAAGAGCCAGTTCACACCAGGCTTGTGGGACACGTTCCAGACAAATAGACCCTGGGTCAGGGAAGAGTCAGAGACACACTGAGTTTGGGTTTCAGCAGTGCCTTCAAGTCAGTCTTTCATCCTGTGAATAAGATAGGAAAGTATAAACTAAGAATGTAATTGTTTCATAAGTGGAATAATATTTGCTAAAGTATGTTGATTAATTTATATAATCTAACAAAGCTCTCTAGGGATAAGTTACAGAATTAAAACCTTGAACTTAAATGAAGCCATCTGTGAATAACAGTTAAGAAAAATTGCTAATTGGGTGACAGAATCATAAATCCAAAAGATCCAGACAGGTTGGGAAGCTGACCAAAAACCAACAAGGTAATAATCTCGCATGAGATGTTATGTGCTGATTTCCGATGCCTGGCTATGGAATACTTTTGCCTAATAAAATCTTGGGAGAAAGTTCCACCAGATTCCACCAACTTTTTCCCCAACCCTAAAACAAGACACTACAGATTCCCTAAGTGTCTAGGCCTTAGGAGTAATGAGTGAGGCTCAGCAGTGAGGACATCTACTAGCGCTTCTCTTTCTCAAGAGGTGAGACAAGTTTATGATCCTTAAGACAAGCACAAACCCAGCCACAGAGGGCCCTGAGCTAGTCCTGTAACTCAAAGGGGTCTAATCAGTGAGGCAGGCCCTGCTGTCCCAAAGGGGTGCAGTGGGTTATATTAGACAGGCCTCCTGGCTCTGTAAACTGGCAGAGGACTGACAAGGTTAAGAAGCACCAAGCTCTATCTTGTGAATTGAGAACATGTTGTGTGTAATTCAGTCTGGTCTCCTGGACACACCAAAGAAAATAAAGTTCTGAACCATCAATGGGGGAAAATAATATATAGCTTTTTAAAATTTTTTAATTAAAATAAATAAATATATATATGCATTTACTTATATTTATATGAATATATATTCATTACTGCCTTTAGGTAAAATAAATAACTGCACTCTTCCAGGATAGGGGAAATCTGACTTGACAGGGGTCATGTGAAAAGGACCCAGAGGTTTGACCTGATCTCAAGCCCAGCATGAATCAGCACTGTGGTAACTGTCACTAAAAGGGCAAATGCTAGCTAAGGCTGCATCAGATCGTGGGAAAGATGGTCCCACTCTGCTCTGGGCTGATCTGTAGAGTTCTCTTCTCCTCCAGGCACCTCATTCGTGGGGGCACTAACAAGCTAGATGATGTCCAAAGCCCAGTAAAGAAGAGACTGGGGGGACTGGAAACTGTGAAACATGAGGAAGTGTTGAGGGACATGAGGACAGGGCACAAGTCTACCTGAAGAGAAAACTTACACATGGAAGTGGAAATGGCAAAATATAAGAGCATCTTAAATAGCTGAATAGTTTCTCCACAGAATAGAGAGAGGACATTCTTTCTCACACTACAGGATGGAACAAGGAACAAGAGAAGTATTAAGAAAGGTGTTAAGGGTGCACGATCAATAACACCCTGGGGGCCCAAGAAAGGACAAGAAAGAAGTTACAGGAAGGTGGTTCTGACTGAACAAAGGCAGAACTTTCATATAACCTGCCTGTCTACAAAAATGAAGAGGGCTAACTTGTCAGAGAACTCCTTGGCCATGAGCTATATAAATACCAACCCATTTTAAACTCAACCCCCTACTTCCATGTGCCCCATCCCAATTAACTCTATTTTTCTCATTAATACTCATCACATTCTAAACTACTATATAATTTACTTATTATGTCTATTATTTACTGTAAGTCCTCCCCTACTAGAATATAAAATCCAGGGTGGTAAGGGTTTTTGCCTGTTTTTGTTCACTTGCTTATCCATAATGCCTAAAACTGTACCTAGCTTATAGTAGATGCTTAATAAATATTTGCAAAAGAAAGAAATGAATGAATTAGTGAATGAGTGAATGGAGGCCAAAGAGCCAAGGATCATGAATGCTGTAAGGCAGGTACTTGATCAGGATTCAGGGAAAGGCTCTAAAGAATCTCTGAAGTCACTGAAATTAAATACAAAATTTGGTATATACGGGCATGTTTCTAAAGAGGGCTTTTATCAGGTGCTCAGAATGATCTATGATCTGAGGGAAGCTTAAGAATGCCTATAGCAGGTGAATCCGTACTTAGAGGGGGAGCTTAGACTTGAAAACCTTTCAGATCTCCACCAACTCTCAGATTACACAGTTCTGTGGAAATGCCAGAGTCCCCAGTTTTAGGGAAGAAGGGGCAAGTATTATGGCCAATAATACCCTGGGGGCCCAAAAACAACTGGAACCTGGAGCAAAGCATGGTGGCTGCACTGCCTACCAGGGTCCTGGGCTCAGCAGCAGATGAGGGGACATGAATCTGCAGATGGCTGCTGAGCCTGCCATCTCACCAACCTGCTCTCATCCCCTCAGTCATACATGGGGGCAGCAGTTGCTGAAAAGTTTTGATCCATGGCTGGTGGTGATTCGAGGAGACTGCTAAACAGTGCTGAGCCATTGTGAGCCTCAAGCTCTGGCAGCAACAATTCTCCTTAGCCCCGCACAAACCTCAGTCACAGGATTCCCCTACTGGCAGAGAGCACCCTAGTGCGACTAGGATGGATGTTTTCCAACATCCATTCCTCTGAGAAGCCAGGTGTCAAGTAGAAGAGCTGGCTGCTTCAAAGAAAAGAGAAGGAAGGCGGTGCCTGCTCTTTTAATGTGTAGCAATAGCATTTGTTCAATAAACATTCAGATGCAGGATACTACACTAAGCAATAGGGTACACAGTGGGTGTTCAACAAATACTTGTCTGAAGCTGACCATATTGTGAATGACTGTGCATTAATACAAACCCTCAGATTAACAAAATAAAAATCCAAAGGCCACTGATAATTACCTCCTTGCCATTGTCTGTGTGGATGCAGTTCTTGTCTGGGTTCAGCTCAGCCACTCTAGCTTTGACCCATTCTACGCCAGATGGAACCACACTTGCTGTGGGACGACCAGACGAGGATAACTGTTTGGCACCAGCACCCACCAGCGTCCAGATGGGCTGGTAGAAATGTCTCTGAGAAACAAAGTATTTGGAGAGTCATTTCAACTTGAGGCTGATCAAAGGGTCATAGCTAAAGGCACATGAGCTAGATTCTCAGTTACTCCCTCCTGACCCTTGCAGCATCACACAGAAAAGTCTCCAGAAGGTTAATTTCCACCGCTGATGTCTCCTATCATGTTAGTCTATGAAGGACAGTGACCCAACACAAGAATTTTTCTAAGATCATCAGAAAAATCCATACACTATGTTTAGTGACTGCTGTATAATTTATTGCTGAAAGGTAATTTGGTGTTTAATGTGTACGTGTTTTATATATTGTGTGCATTATGGATACACTTATGTGCATAGATATAAAAAAAAATTAAGCCTGACAGCCTAAATACGATTCCTCCGAAGTATGCAGAGACAGTGGTAAGTGTGGAAAGTTTACAGCAACTTCTGTGGATCCTCGAAACTTCAGTAACTTCTGACCGTGTTTTTCAAGCCGGTGAAGGACTGCAGACACTATTCTCATTTCTCAGAGGTTTTACACCCAAAGCCAGAAGGCACCAAACTCTACCCGTAATGCAACGCATGTCCAAACTTTCACTATTTTTGCAGTTCTCTTGCTTCAGATGTTTCACTCTTGATCTGAAATAGTTGTTAAAGTTCTAGACTCAGGGTCAAAGGGCAGATTGATTGATGACCTCTGAAAATTCCAATTCACTAATGAAGTGGACTAGGGGACCAAGAGCTCTTGATGTTGTCAAAATGCCTCAAACTCGCTGGCCAGAACTCCCGAAACCCACACAGAGATGAAGAGGACACCAGGAATGGCCTTGCAATCTCCCTACAACCAATGGTGGATGTGATCAAAGAGCAGGAGGGCAGAAGCCTCCAGTTGTGAGAGCTCATCAATTTTAAGTCCATCTTGAACAGGAAGAGGAACAAAAATACAAGCTCAGATTGTTTTTAACAACAAACATCAGCTCCAGCAATCACTAAACCAGGCGGGGAAGGTGCTAAAAGCCTGAGCCACTGGCAGCTCCTTCAAGAGACGTGGGGGCAGGACAGATGTGATTCTGGCCTCCTGACCTGTGTCCAGTCTCAGTATAGAGAGAAGCCTCACTGCGAGACCTGCCCATAGGTTAGGTACAACACAACATATGCCAGAGAGAATAGCCACCCGGTACCACTCTCAGATCGTTGTCCTTTAAAGTAGTGTCGCTGAATTGAAGAGAAGCCACTTTAAGAAGAAAAGTGATAGCACCACCTAGTTTCCTCTCAGATCACGGCCCTGGGTAGCCTCATTCTCTACTGGGGAGACATCTTGAAAGGAAATATGCCTTTCTCATCCCACCTCCCCCCCCAAAACAGGCACCGGATCAATTTTGCTTTTCCCTCCCAAGGATACAGCTCCCAACTGGTGAACACCTAGTTCCTTGGGAAGCATTAGGCAAACCACCAAAAAATCTTGAATATTTTTTTGAAGCTTTTGGGAAATCCTAAAGGTTTTTATGAAACAGTGACTTAATCTACCCTCCTAGTATCAGCTACCTTTCCTTCCTTATAATCTGCTTATCATCCCCTTGCACTTAAATTTCTCAAGGCCACCAACAGCTTTGCAGAGGCCCCCTGGCCCTCCAACTCATCATCCCTTCTCAGACTGGAACAGAGATAGGAAAGTGCAGTGACCATTGATTTCCTCTGGACACACAGCTATCATGGATTGAACTGTGTCTCTATAAAAGGTATGTTGAAGTTCTATCCCCAGCACCTGTGAATGTGACTTATTTAGAAATAGGGTCTTTGCAGATGTAATCAAGTCAAGATGAGGTCATACCTGAGTAGGGTGTGTCCTAAATCCAATGACTGGTGTCTTCATAAGAAGGCCATGTGAAGACAGGGGGACATAGAGATACACAGAGAAAACATGTGCAGATGGAGGCAGAGAATGGAATGATGTAGCTGCAAGCCACAGAGTGGCAAGCACTGCCAGCACCACCAGAAGCTGGGAGAGAGGCATGGGACAAATTCCCCTGCCCATCCTCACCACCCAGGCTTCAGAGGGAGCGTTGCCCTGTCGATGGGTTGGGTTCGGACTTCTAGCCTCCAGAACTGAGAGAGAATAAATGGCTATTGTTTGAAGCCACCCAGTCTGTAGTAATTAGTTATGGCAGCCCTAAGAAACTAATACAGAGGAAAACACAAAAAGTCCTCCTCCTATCCCTCCCTCCACTTTCTCCCAGTCCTTCTGGATGGGCTATGTTTTTTGCCCAGAAGGAGAAGCACTGACCTGGAGACATGAAGGCCCAGTGCCTGATGGTCATGCCTATCCCAGCCCCCAACACACACACACACACGTACTCATGCACTCAAAAGAGACTTACCTCACTGGGCTCAACAATGGCCACATTCTCTGCACCCACTCTCCTCTTCATGCGGGCGGCCATGGTTACCCCACCGCTGCCCCCACCCAGCACCAGCACCTCATAGTGGCTCTTGGCGGCACAGCTGGCCCCCGTGTGCAGCTGCAGGGGGCCGACCTGCTGGGTGCCCAGCCTGAGGAAGCGGGCCAAGAGCCGGGTGTGGGGGCTGGGCACCACGGCAGCCAGCGGGGCCATCTTCAGTCTGGATCAGGCTGGAAGGGAACAGACAAGGCTGTGAGTGCCAAGGAAGAGACCACTATAGGACTGAAGCATTTTCTTGCAGGGAGGACAGGGAGGCTGGCATTTGGGCAGCCCCAGCTGCTACCCACCAGCCCCCATCGAGAGCACTCTCTCCTCTGGCTGTGGTCCCAAGGTTTCCTTAGAGCTCTCCATTGTTAGCTAACAACTGGCTCAGCTTGACATTTCTTCCTTCCCTCCTATTTTCAGGCTATCTAGGACTTTGTTTGAACCAGGGTTCCCACGCTTTAAGTTCTTCCTAATAACCTATGTCCCCTTTCTCATCTATCCGTAAGTTCTGGGGCACCATCTCCTCCAGGCACACCCCTCAACTCTTCCTTTGGCTTTTCAGTTATTAAACTGATTGTGAGTCCACAAATAGAGACCTGTAACATTCCTTGCCAGAAAGGGCACCCACAACCTTGCTGAAACAGAAACAGTCCAGCAAGAAACCTACCCCAGGCTGCTCAGAGTTCCAGCCAGGGTAACCAGGGCCTCCACCAGTCAGAGGCCTCCTGGCTCTACTCACCCAGGGATGTACAATTGAATCAAATCTCTGGCTACAGACACGCAAGCAATTCCTCCACACCTTTAGCAATTTCAACCAGATGATTTTTTTTTAAAGCCATAAAAGGAGCCCTGCCTAGTATCATAAAGTTATACTAATGTAATGAATCTGCACATGCTACAGGCCAGTCTTTTATTATATCCAATTCAGTAAGCAATTTCTGCTTAATAGTTCCTTCCCAGAAACGCACTTTACCTCTAGGAAAACATGTTTCTACTCTGAGCAGCTAGTGCTTTGACAGAGAGGACATTAAGGTTTCTCAGAGACTGGCCTTTGCTTCACCCCATCCACAGAACTGGTCTGACCTCCAGGCCACCATCTACTTGTATAACTGGAACCAGACTCAAGATACCACCCTCTCTGGGTATCACAGTGCCCCAGATTCTACCATCCCGTTCAGTCCTGTGGGTCAGCACTGCTCCAAGAACGCTTCATTAAAATGCAAATACCCTGGGGAATAACTCTTTGAGCTGCTAAGGTCACTAATTTCTTAATGGCAGCCACTGAATTATATCATTTCCCCGCCCAACTGGAGAAGAGAAAGACCGCAGGAGGAGTAAGAGAAAGCTGAGAGGGGGAAAGGGCTATAAAATATGCAAGGAATAAAGAGCCCTGGAGGAGGAAAAAGTGATGGGAAGCAGGAAGAAGGAGCCAGGGTGCTAGGTTTAACGAAGTTTAATTCTATTCCAGAGGTTTGGCTCCCCTGACAACTTCCTCCACATTTCAGATCTGAGAAGTGACCCAGAGCTGGAGGGAGGGGACTCTCGGAGGCCCACAGTAATGGGGTGGGCTCACACCCTGTTGCTGCAAGTCTAAAATCAATACAACCCTTCTAGAAAATAATATGAATCATCCTTTGACCTTGCATTTCTACTTCTGGGAAGCTGGTCTGAGGAAATAATCTCTAATACTAAGGAAGAAAAACTATTATATAGTTCTCCCATGCTTATTCATAATATGGTCAACCCTCTGTTAACTGGTTTGTGGATTAGGCCTGATTATATCCTGGGGACAGAAAACGAAACTTCAGGCTCAACACAGGCCAGGGAAGGCTCAGATCCCTGCAGTCATCTATGACTACTTCAATTTAATGTGGGGTGGAGAGCAGTCAGAATGTCAAAACACTGGGGAAAAGCTGAGTAAAACATGGCTGCACAAGACGACTCATGCAGTCTTTTAAAATCATGGTTACAAAGAATATACAACATGCTTATGTTGCAACCAGGATACAAATCGGAAGTATAATATTACCTCAATCATGTAAGAAAAAATACACTGAGGGGGAAAA